CACGTGGGGCAGAGAGCAGCATTTTCTCGCTTCCACCAATCACAAAAAAAGCAATAAAACGACCATCCTGAGTTTCCAAAAGAATTCAGACTAGCAAACACCTCAAAAAAGGCAAACTTTAAAGAAGTAATAACGAAACAATGCCATGATAATATAGGATCATAGGTTACTACGAAAGCATTGCAATTTTGATGTGAAGGTTTAAATCTGTAAATAATAGTATATGAACTATTTTCCAATAAAATTACAATAGTGATCTGTCGTTTTTTGGTTCTCAGGCATTCTACCAGTTTGCCAATCAGTAAATGGACAACGAACACTCAATTCAATATAAAGTCAGCTTATTTTGGCTGAATAGTATCATTATGACCATTAGTGCATCCAGCATCCACCAAGATATCGAATATTATTCAAAGTTTTGAATGTATGGACTTCAGTATCTCTCTCGCCCCGGTAACATACTAAATAATAACTTTGTCTGTTAGTTGCACCCGCAAGGAAATATTCTTAGTTATCTTTTGTTTAAGTTAATATTGGATTTCGCTATCTGTATTTTCACTGAGTTACAAGATGCAAAGCAAAACCGAAAATTCCACAGATAGATATTACTGACACTACTAGTAACAGTATAGCTCAGTTATAACAGTATAGAAGTATGTAAAATACAATCAAATGGAACTTTGTATTTTGAGATCTTATCATGCTGTAGCTGATTTTTTTCTTTCTATCAAATAGACCTTTATGAAGTTTCCCTCACTATTAAACTATACATAATTAACATATGGTAAAACAAACACAATTATACTTTGAAGTAAACATCTCAGACTGAAGGGTTAGTTATAGTGGAACTATAATTTACGTTCCCACTGAACTGAGCTTTAAAGAAGGTTTAGCCTCAGTTGCACAATTACTGCTCATAACTGACATCTATAGGAAGTTTCAATTTTAAAATATCCAAACATCTGTGTAATTAATACCATTGTCATTACTATTCCACAGTGTATGTTACTAATTACTTACCATATGAATATTTGACAAACAATAAACGGATTTAGTAGAGTTTAATTGTACTGCACAGAAGCAACATTCAAATTCAATCCAGATAATGAGTTTTAGTACTTGAAGGAAAGGCCTTCTGAGCAGGGATTTGTGGTAAACAACAGATAAGTTAAATGTTTTTCTAACATTCCTCTGGTGTAAAATTCATAAACTATTTATAATGATTGTTTGAAAAACATCTGAAGTCAAGCGTGATTTTATCACTTTTGTTCTACTACAAAGCACCCAATATTACGTCAGCTTTGGCGTTTCACACTACTCAGTTACATTCTATGTTTAATATTTACGGTAAGGTTGTGGAGATCAGATATCAATCATTGTTATGGTTAGTAGCCGTAGACGATAACCGAAGTCTCTAATTATTAATTACTTGCTATTGTTTTATAAACAGTTAAAGACTTAGGTGATTGTATAACATACTAACCGTGACAACGATCCATGTTTATATTCTACAGGTACAATTGCTTTTATGTGTATATATTTTATATAGCATAGGAGTATTCTGTTGTTATGAGAAACTATATCCCATCAGAACCAACATAAAACTCTTTCAATACTAATTTTTCTTTTCCTTAAAAGTTTGATTTAAAATTACTTATTAAAATCTCTCTTTTACACACCGTTATTTTTATTTTATTCCATGTTCAATTTCATTTACATAAGTTGAAAAAAATCGCAAAACAACAGGAAGTCCTAACTAAAATTTCATCCACAAAAAAAAACAGGGAGTCCTAACTAAAATTTCATCCACAAAACAACAGGAAGTCCTAACTAAAATTTCATCCACAAAACAACCATAAACAGCATTTGATTTTATAAGTTATCACTTCAATTGGTAAAATTTGGATTTTGAAAAACAAATTGACATCCATTAGAATGTTTCGACAGGAAATCATATGTATTACATATATGTATTACACTCAAATCTTAATACCTCAACAATTTTAAAAACTTCAGGGTAAAAGCCCCAACTTTGTCATTTCAGGAGAGATTTTTGGATATTTGCATTCCAAATTACAGTAAGCAAATCAATAGTCAATTATTTGTCGAATCACAGAACTGAGACTTTTTGTTCGTAAAACAGCTTCTACTGGAGGTATGGCAATTACTGACACACCAGTTATAGGATCAGGGATTTCTTTCGGTTTTCTGATGCTTTCGTCGTCCAACATGAAGAGTTCAGTTTTTGAAACTGGCCCCCATTCTTTACTGCTTATACCTCCAATTACATAGATAAAGGCTTCTGCAAAGAGCGTCAGCAACAACTTTATTAGTTAGGGTAAAAAGTAATGCCATCTTACTTTATATTCTGCATGTAAACTTAAACAATTATTAGAAGATATAAAAATTCCAAACAAAAAATACAAATTTTATGTAGATTAATTTAAACAAGTACTTGAGCATTACAATACTTACAAGGAGTTATAACAACTGAATATCTTCTAGACTTTTTATGTAATAACAGTATGTATGTAACTTATATTGTAACTACTGATATGAAATATTCCTCATTAGTATGTCAAATCTAGCCCATTTAGTTTCTATTTATCGCGTATTTCATATCAGCTAGATAAGACAGTGGATTTTCTAATTTTAACACTAAAACATTTATGTAGGAAAGTTGTTTGTATATCAAATTTAATTGATACCGAGTGACATCATAGTTCATTTTGCATTTTCTAGTTTAAGTATATACAAATCTAATTAGATAAATTGTGTTTGTTTCAAAGAGAAATACTTTTCTAAGATTGTTGTTTGGGATTTATTAGCGCAAAGCAAAATCGTTGATCTGCTCTTCAACTACAAAGGTATCGTGTTACTAACGTCTTTAGTAAAAACTTAATGAACTATTTTTATATTTACGTTGTTTTAATATTTAGTACCAATGTAAAGAGTAAAAAAAAAGAAATCTTTTAGCGAATTACTTAATTCTGATACCATTTGATTATTCAACATGTTTATAATAGTGACTAAACATTACTGTGTTCATTGTTGTACAGTAATTAATATTAATATCCTATGTTAGAAATACGACACTTTAGAAGGGAAGTATTTACCAAAAGCAACAACCCCAGCAGAATGTCTCGGTATTTGTAGCTCGGCTCTAGTTTCCCACTCGTTGCAGTCCATATTATAAATATCGAGCAATCCTGTGCTCAGTAGGTGGTTTTTATTGGACCGAGAAACACAACAACCTCCGACAACCCACAGTCTATCTTGTGCAACTACAGCTGAGCAGTAAGCCCTAGCCATTCGTAGCGGAGGACGAGATGACCATCTAGGTTATAAAATATTGTATTTAGTCAAATATGAGAGTAAAAATGTCAAGATTATGTTAAATCGTTTTGTTACACGATACTTATATGTTTAATATCAATTTATAATGAAAACAGAAAAAATAGTGACTTTTCTATAATTTGGTGTTTTTCGAGCTCTTCAGAAAACAGGAAATACACTTCTTCCAAAGAAAATCCTAAGAACTGGCTTAATTTTAAACAAGAATATTTAACCATGAAATATACAGTAGATAACACTTTTTAATCAACAAATGTATTATTGTAAAGTTTTTGTGAAAGAACAAAATGAACATATCAAACTAGTTTGTGTAATCTTTTCCATCCTCGACTTACATGAGCTGAAGAAAACTAAAACGACTTGAAACTGTAGTTCTTAACTGACTAAAAACAGATACGTCATACTTGTTGCATCATGATATTTGCAAATCAAACCACTCATTGACTCAGTTTTTAACCATCTCACATCTTATACATGTTAAAACATTTACAATACTAACACGTGATGAGAACAGATACGTATATTGCAATATTCCAATATTGTACGATATAAGTCAGTTTTCTTAACTTGTATAGTGATGATTCCTGGTGATATTGGACAGTTCTTGTCGGCATTGGATGTAGTATCACTATCTTTATACACTTCTCTTTACTTTCACTCGGAAGTTTATTTATCATTCTTACACAAATGTTATTTCTATAGTAATTGTTTCACAATAACTTAC